TGCACACCCATGTTCATTGTGGCACTATTTACAATAGCCAAAAGATGGAAACAACCTAAGTGTCCATCAACTGAGGAATGGATAACCAAACTATGGTAAATACACACAATGGAATACTATGCAACGCTAAAGAATAACGCAGAATCGGCAAAACACCGCATAACATGGATGAACTTGGAGGACATTATGCTGAGTAAAATAAGTCAATCACAAAAGGACAAGTATTGTATGAGTCTGTTATTGTAAAAGTCAAGGAAACACTTATCTATGGAAGGACATTTTCTTTGTTGGTTACCAGGGGTGGGAGAGGAGGGGACAGAATACTGTTAGATAGATAGAGATAAGTTTTGATTTGGGTGAAGAGAAGGGCAATGTACCAAATGTGAATGATCAATATAGTGGCATTGAGGAAGAGAAAGACATAGAGAAGTACGTGGGAAGTACAGACAACAAAGATGAACCCTTCTGTGCATATACTACGGTGTGGTCAGTGAAGGCTAACACGGGTATATGGGTGGACAGATGGGTGAACAGGCTGAAGTATTAGGTATGTCTGTGAAGTGGGGAGTATACCCAAGAACATGTATAGAGTTGGCAGAGAGTGGTCCAGTAACTTCATGTGTATGATCTGAATTCCCAGGTGTATAATGGAGCTGACAAGGGGCAAGGTTGTTGTAGTCACTGCTTGGTCACAGTGAGCTACCCAGAGGGACTGAGTAGTTGAACCTGTGGTTTCAGGACCATAGTCACAGAGGATATCAAGCTCAATTGCCATAACATACTACACAAAACATTGTTCCACCTCCTACTGTGGCAAATGGCGACTTGGATCTTAAAAGCTTGCAAGCTGTCATCTAGATGCAACGATGGGTCTCCCCTCATCCAGAGCCAAGAAGAATGAAGAAAACCAAAAATTAATGGAAACAATTAGTCCTAGCGACTGGTACACCATCTGATCTGCAGCCTATATGACTATAAGACCAGAAGAACTAGACGGTGCCCAGCTACTACTGTCAACCACTTGGAAGAGGATCTATGTAGGAGATCCTGGATAGACAGGGAGAACAATGTG